TCCATCCATCCATCCATCCATCCATCCATCCATCCATCCATCCATCCATCCATCCATCCATCCATCCATCCATGCAAGTGAACGCGTGCACGCGCGCACACCTCGGTCGATGAGCTTGTCGATGTCTGGGTCCAGACTCTTGAAGTAGCACTTCCTCCAGAGTCCGGAGTGGGTGGAGAAGAGCGGCCTGCCGCACTCGGTCTCCAGGATCCCCATCCCCAGAATGGCCCTCCAGTTTTCCAGCAGCTCCTCCTCCCTGCTGCCCACATGAACCGGCTTCATCAGCGCCACGTCCCGCTGCCGGGGCCCGGAGTCCAGCAGGGGCAGGTGGTAGATGGGCATCTCCCGGTTCTTCTGGTCGTTCGATTCGGAACCGTCGCAGTTCTGCTTGTGTTTGCGGGTGTCGGTTTCGTACCAGTGGTCGGTGGAGATGGCGGTGACCAGCAGTAAGAGGGACAGCGTGCTGAGCGCGAGGCTCACCGCGGACACCTTCACCGTGGCCGGCCGAGCTCTCTCCATCATGGCGGGGAGCTGGACCAAGCCGCTCCGGGGCACGGTTCCGGAGCTGGTTCCGTTACTGGACATTTTCTGCTGCCATCCTCAAGCCTCTCAGCTGTTCCTCGTTTGCCCCCGAGAGCGCGTTGTCATGCCGACTGACCATCAAAGCTGCGTCAAGGTGCGCATAGGTAACACGGCCGGAAGTATTATATCTTCAAAATAAAAGCGCTTCACCGAGAAAATAAACACCAGATTATTTTTTTAACGTTCTTGTTTTTGTTGTTGTTGTGTATGTAAGATAGTGATATACTGGTAATTTTATGTTCTACTGTTGATTGAGTCTTTTTTAAGATTTAAGATTAAGGTTGTTTTATAATCATTACTGAGTTTATATTCACCTTTTTTGCACCTTTTTGATTCAGTCACGTGACAAGACTTTCTACAGATTCAAACTGATAGAATCAACTGAAACATGTTTTAACAACATTTTATAATAAAGACAGGTGTGTTCGTAATAAAGACATGTGTTTATAATAAATACAGGTGTGTTCATAATAAAGATGTGTTTATAATAAAGACATGTTTATAATAGAGACAGATGTGTTTATAATAAAGACAGGTGTGTTTATAATAAAGACAGGTGTAATCATAATAAAGACATGTGTTTATAATAAAGACAGGTGTATCCATAATAAAGACAGGTGTGTTTATAATAGAGACATGTGTTTATAATAAAGACAGATGTGTTTATAATAAAGACATGTGTTTATAATAGAGACAGAAGTGCTGATATTAAAGACAGGTGTGTTTATAATAAAGGCAGGTGTGTTTATAATAGAGACATGTGTGTTTATAATAAAGACAGATGTGTTTATAATAGAGACAGGAGTATCCATTATAAAGACTGATATGTTTATAATAGAGACAGGTTTTTTATAATAGAGACAGGTGTGTTTATAATAAAGACAGGTGTGTTTATAATAGAGACATGTGTGTTTATAATAAAGACAGATGTGTTTATAATAGAGACAGGAGTATCCATTATAAAGACTG